TATTTTCTATTAAATCATGATTTACGAGGTCATAAATCATCGTACAGTGTTTATTCGATGTTATGAAACGAGAGAAATTAGATTATTTGTTAGGTTTTTAGGGTTCCATACCCAAAGGGTAAAACGGGACCCTATTACTAAGACTCCGCTATCTGTATCTGTCTGTCCGTCCGTCTGTCACCAGGCTGTATCTGATGAACCGAGATAGTTAGGCAGTTGAAATTCTCACAGATGATTCATTTCTTTTGCCGCTATAACAACAAGTACAAAAACAGAATAAAAAATGTTTTAGTGGGGCTCCCATAAAACAAACATGATTTTTTATCTGTTTTATAGATAATAAATGGTACGGAACCCTTCGTGTGCAAGTCCGACTCGCACTTGGCCGGTTTTTTAAACAGTTCATACTTGAATGGAAGGCAAATGTTTTATTACAACTGATGTATACAGCAGAAGCCAGTTTTAGACGAAATATAACTTCGGGTTGAACTTAAATTGGTGGAGCTACCAGCAAGGAGACGATTTAACTTTATACATTACAGCTATAATGTAATTTTCAAAGTTTTATTGTTCGTCTGGAAACCTCTTATGGTAATAATGCAATATTCACTGTTCGTACGATCCCTTTTGTTTCACTACCTCTTTATGGCTTAGATGGTGATCTATTAAGAGTTGGATCTACTAATAAACAAATACATATATCTATTATTCGATTTATTGTCTTAATTATTAAAGTAATACGGTGTTTTAGCTCTTGTTATCAAGTTTGATGTCAACCGCAATTATTGTAAATTTTATGTTCTTTCTGAAAATCTGAAAATCATTTCTCAAGTGTACGTAGCATATATGTATAGAAATAGTAGGACTATGTATTATATATATGTACACAACATTTTTCCTTTTTGAGAAGTTAGACAATTATTCTCATATTTGTATAGTTCGGTGCGGAATTTTGAACATGAGAAAAATGCAGTTATCTCCTACGATATGAATATAAAATTCGAATGAAATATACTGGCCGGTCATGATATTTAGAGTTGCGAAGGGAATGCAGTTTCGTCTCTCGACGGCATGTAGTACTGAAGTAGTATGTATTATGAATTTTAAAGCAACCTGAAGCCTATGTATTCAATACCATAAAAGTCACTTATATAAAAAAATAACACAAATGATACTAAAATGGGCACCCCTTGGTATGATGGTTTTAATTATTTTTGTTTTTTTTTTTAATTTTGTTGCATGTCCAAACTTACGTACGCCATACAAAAAATATATTACCAAAAAAATATGGCCTCCCTAGGAAAGCGTCGCTTGTCTTCTAGTCCCTGTGCTCACTTCTAATCATCTTGTTATTGGCCCTATGTATGATGAAAGGCAAAATTACTTAACCACCAAATAAATGTATAGCTTTTAAGCAATTTGGCCTTTCCAGTGACGATATATACCTATATATATTCGATAATCTTCTTTAATTGTCAACGTCTATACAATTTCAGCCTACGCAGTCACGCACACCGTGGGTGCCCCTAAATCACCTAATCCGATCTTATCGCACCTTGTGACTCCTCACGTCTACCTCAGTAAATTTATTTTAGCAAAATGGATCGAACGGACATGTTTTTGTGTGCGCGCCAGGTTTCCATGCATGAAGACTAGATGACAAGTGTTTTTTTCATCGTATCTGCAAGTCAGACATACATTTTAGCTGCACATACTACCAATTTTGATGTTGTCTCGGGACACTTCGACCTTAAATAATAAAAGTCATGACTCCGTGGCACAGTTGTCTAGGTATTGGCTTCGGCGTTGGGGTCGTGGGCTCGATTTCCACACGGGATTCCTTTCGGGTCTGGGTGTTTGTCCACGTGAACTTTATGTATGTAAAACGTCTTTATGACACAGGATAATGTTATCTTACGGAAAGGTGCAATGTTAAAGAAAAAAAAAAAAAAGAAAAATAAAACACTTTAATATAAATAAATAAAGCTTCTTATGAATGTGACATTATTGTACACCATTTCTGTATTATGACGTCATAACCGACAAGACTTCGATATAATCGGGATAAGGGTTAGACAGATATCCTTTAATCGACCAACCCTTTGATTTATGGGTCCTATTTATAATGGTTTACAATATAAATTGAAACGTTGACATTGTCTACATAATGTTTGTAACTTTTTGAGATAACAAGTCATTCTGTCTACATACGGCTGAAGATCTAGAATTAATTATAAATATATAAAACTAAGAAAATAAAATTGTTTAAATGCTCATGTCAAATTATTTTATGTATTCGGGGACAAGCAGCCAATTACCCTAAAGTTATAACAAGCTGACAAAGTTAAACGTGAAACTTAGTCAGCACTTATAAACTGTCAGTTCTATTAATTTCAAGAATCAGGTCACGATATTTTTGAATTTTATATGGAGATAGGTAAAAATCCAAAAAGTGTAGGTATTACTGATTCGAGAAATCATCTGTGGTATAAACCGTTGACTTTAGATAACTTAAGATGACCAATTTTTTCCAAAGCAACGTTTAGGAAAAGCTATAAAAGTTATTTAGAAGTATAATTAATGGATGCGCTAGAAGGGAAACTACCTCGAAGTTATGAAGTACCGATAAAGAAATCTTTTATCTCCTGAAGCCCCGTTTAAATTTCTCAGAGAAATTCAATAACTTTCTAATTAATATTAATTTATAAATTAGAATTTCGTTTGAAAAGCATTGAAAAGATTGGATTAGAAGTTAATTTAACTCAAACCTGTTTAAGTATTCTATTGTTTTCATAATATTCTCGTTTTTGAAAATATATCACAAGGCCCTATCACCACATTCGAAAGTTAAGGAAGCCTATGATATGGTATGATAGAATATAATTATGTTTATAGATTTTCATGTGTGGTACTTCAATGAAAAAGTGATTAAGATAATTTATTTTCACCATAAGGTACCGGTAAAAAATAAGATCGGCTAAGTTTATGTATTTTTTTAAAGGACAAGTTGAAAAAAAGCTGAAGCTTCATATGATGGGAAAAAGGTACCATTGCACATGAACATCCACACAACTCTTGATTGGGTTGGTCCCGGTCAAACACAAAAAAAACGACCAAGTACGAGTCGGACTCACGCAAGAACGGTTCCGTACCATAACAATGGCAAAAGATCGTAACTGTTTCATGGGAGTCCCACTTAAATATTTTTTATTCTGTTTTTAGTATTTGTTGCTATAGCGGCAACATTACAGAAATACATCATTTGTGAAAATTTCTGGTGAGAGACGAACAAACAGACTGACAGCGGAGTCTAAGTATTAGGGTTCCGTTTTACCCTTTTGGTACGGAACCCTAAAAATGGCAATAGTGCTGCCCTACACCAGTGCACTATTAAGCAGTGTGGGTGCTTATCCGATTTAAAGAACCACGGCATATACTGTTTCGTAGCTCCGCCAATGTAGATCAGATATTATTCTTTTACCTTGTATCTTTTATTAACTGATGTTTTTGCTTTTAGTCCCGAGACTATTAAAGCTTCATCTGACGCAGAACCGGTGGGCTAGCCAGAACCCACGGGCTTGGGCCCTCTGCTGTGGGTAGGGCCGCGTATGTGCTCATGCTGATACTATTGTTAGTGGCACGAATGGTATCCGTAGCGAACGGGTATTAATCAAGTCACTTCTGAAAGTTATCACTGGAAAAATTACTATCCGATTTCCTTTGCCAAATTAATGGAAAAATAGCAGGAGAACCGAGCTTTGCTCGGTTTGTTTTGTTTTTCACAAAAGAAAGAACTTTAAAAAAAAGGGAAAAAATAACAAAATAACAAATCGACAAAAAATTAAAAATAAAGAAAGCAATGATCTGAAAAAAAAGAAAAAAAATAAATGTGTAAATGATCGTGACGTGAACCACGGCCGTCTGTTTTGGGGCCGCTCGATTACCGACCGAGCTATTTTGACATTTTCTCTTGCGAAATTTACCGTCATATTCGAATTATATTTTTCATTCCCTGAAAACAGGGATAAAAGGACATTTTCTAAAAATGAAACCTAGCTAGATCGATTTTTCGGCCCCGAATCTATGCACATACTAAATTTCATGAAAATCGCTGGGCCGTTTCCGAGATTCCGAATATATATATATATACAAGAATTGCTCGTTTAAAGGATAAGATAATATAAAAAAACACATTGAATATTTGAAATAAATACACAGCAAATATACATTGAAATTGAGAATAATAAGTATATTTTATTTATCAAAACAATAGAATCAGAAAGTATATATGTTATAGACAACTGTGTACGTTACAAAACTTTGTAAACAAATGTCACTCGGAAGAGAACAATTTACTTATGAATCATGAGTGACCTAAGGTCGGCGAATTACGACTAGGACGCTTATCGCGGGGATTCCTCTCTAAAATTAAAGCATAATTGTAATATAGAAGGTGCAAGTGAAATAAAAGAAAAATATTGCGAAGCTTTACATTTGCCGTACATTATCGCTAACCAAAAATTATAAATAACATAAAAATTTAACATTACCTCTGAAATATACTTCGTCTTATTTAAAAGAATATGTCTAAGTAGTCAAGTATTAAGAACTACTTTAATACCAATATACACGATAGCAATGCAATTTACGCGATATGTAAGGAAGATAAAGGTCCGTTTTGTGATAAACTATATATATATTTTTCGTTTTGTTATTTTAATAATGCTATTTACCACCAAATATTGCATATAGAATACTAAACTCATTGCCCAATATTACATTTCACACATTTTAATTTCAGGCCACTTCTAGTAATAAATATTTATGTGAAACGAGGAGATCAATGGAGGTCATCGGGGATGTCCAGCACATTTATTGTATATAAGTAGAGTTTTGCCACAGGCAGTCATTAGTTTCGTCGATTACAGTCCATCGTGACAGATCTTCTTTGTCTGTTTGTACTAAACAATTTCATTATGTTTAAATCAAAAATAATATTAATGGCAGTGGTGATTTCATTTGTCAGCAGTAGGCACTTGTTTGAAGAAGATAATGGCCCGTACCTGTTAGTGGAAGATGGCAACGAGATTACAGTGTATGAAATAGAACAGCCGCTTTTAGAAGATCTACAGTTGTTTGAACAACATCATGTACCTAGAGTGCGACGTCAAGCGCATGGTAGCGTTGGTACCAACCCAGATGGAACATCAAATGTAGCAATGAAGGTTCCGTTAGCTGGCAATGATAAGAATGTGCTAAGTGGAATCGGCAGTGTTGGCGCGGCTTCCGGTAATGGGGGTTTTAAGGCGGCAGGTGGTGGTTTGGCTTGGGACAACGTGTAGGTGTTTTAAATTTAGAACTGATTTGTCACACAAATGATTTTTAATATTTTTTTTTGATAAATTTTAAAATAATAAAAATATAATAAACTGTGAAAAGGTCTTTAAGTGAATTTTAATTTGCTCAAACTTCTGCGGTGATGAAATAATTTTCCCAAGTTAAAGTCCTCATTTTTATTTCCAGCAATGGCCACGGCGCGAGTTTGACTGGACAGCGCATTCCTGAGTTTGGTAATCAGCTGACTGCAGCCGGAAAAGTTAATTTATTCCACAACGACAAGCATGACGTCACCGGTAACGCCTTTGCGACCAGAACTTTCCCCAATAACCCGAACATTCCTAATTTTGATACCTACGGCGGCAAGGTTGGATACACTTATGAGTAAGTATTAAAACTTTCTTAAATAATGTAAAAATATAACGTAGCAAATTGTCCATATCGAAAGTACACTCTCGATGTATTTTTAATTAAAACTTGTAATGGATTTTAGCGAAAAGTAAACAGACAAGCTTATTAAATTTATTCTCATAACGTTACTACGATTTGCGTATTACTAAAATATGCATAGACAATTAGGTCTTCACAAATACATTATAGTATTTTATAGGCTCTACGATCATTGGATATGTTGCGAATTATTTGTGTGTTGTATGTTTCAAAGAAATAAATAAGGGTAAATTTTCAGCCACAAAGTGGGGGCATCATTAGGCATGGCGCACACTGACCTGTTCAAGAAAACTGACTACTCGGCAATGGGCAACTTAAATCTCTTCAGGAACCGTGACTCCTCGTTGGACCTTAACGCGGGATTCAGCAAGTCCGTTTCGCCGTACATACCAAGCAGCAGATGGGAGCCCTCCGGCGGCGTCTCGTTCACTAGATTCTTTTAGAGTACTGTTATTAGTAATTTAGTATTAAATATTTCTGCAGTGTTATTAAATAATATTTCTTATCAAATTAAACTTTTTATTTATTCACCTTTGTTTAAATTTTGCTCAAGTTTACCCTGCCCTTCACTATAATGTAGTCAGTGGCCAAACAATAATTCTGAAATAAGTTTACTTATATTTATTACTACTATACTTATACTGATTACTCATACACTTTGCTGATAAGACGGTAGTTCGAATCCCGACAGTGCCGTCGATTTTTAGTCAATTTACCTACCATGATCGTCGTTATTTCAGCCTACTTAGATGGATGTATTTGTTAAAATGGATTTTTTTTAAATTGTAGTTTTCATTGTGTATATTAATTGTAATCTAAATTATCAATAAGTAGTTAGTGCAGTTGTTTTGCTTGTTCCTGATGCACTATACACATAACACCAGTTGTTTATGTGTTAACTGACGGATGCACAAATCTGTAGGTGTTATGGTTTCTCTGTAAAGCGTACCACAAAAGTGCTCAGGTTGTGGGATAGTGTTAGGTCTCGCTTCGCTCGCCCTAATAATGAAAACATCTATGTAGCAGAGTAGTTTTTTGAAATTACAAGTTTTGTTATTACCACCCGCTATTAACTATACACATGTACAGGTTTTAAAATATTATTTTGAGTGCGACGTCACAAACTTTTTATTTCCTGTACTAGTATGTATTCACATAATTGTCTTCAATTCCATTCCGTATATATACACAGTGGGTTTGAAGTCGTTACAACTTCCTACGTTTATACAACAGCTGTAAACATTTTACATTATATAGACGAACTCACTAAATAGTTTCACAGGGAGAAATTTAAATAATGCAATCCTCTTAGGAACGCCACAGAAATATTCTGCAATAGTTTAGTATAAAACTGTTTCATCAACTTCAAACATTATGGGGATTCATTAACAAAAATTGACTTAGTTAAAATAGTTTATTAGATAGTTTAGGTTTTGCAGTTGGTGCCACTTTGCCACGTAACACCGCATTGCAGATGGAATTATCATGGTATTTAAAAAAAAACCTGTTTTAAATTTATGTATTGATTACTCTCCTTGTTTCTCAACATCGTTTAAAACTAAATCTTGTAAATTGAATAGATTTTAATGAAACTACAATAATATTGCTTATACATCAGAATAAGACATAGGCTATAATTTATATACATATTTTATGTATATCTGTCTTTGTGTCTGAACGTTACGCCTTCAGCCTATTCTATGCGGACGTAGTTGCGGGCAGCAGCTAGTATAATTTTCATTTCTATCAATATCCAACAGCTACCCAAAGCTAAGCTGAGTTGTGTTTATTTAAAATTCATTGCTAAGAATCACTACACGTATATTTTGACGTATGTTCCGCGTAGGTCTTACTTTTTGATCATGTAGGCGCGAACTTTATATATAGATTTTATTATTAAAAACAAAACCACATTACGACATCATTAAATAAACTCTGTAAAAGCAATCATGCCTACAAGGAAATAACTGTATGGAAATCAATCATGAAAAACGATTCCCAATATTTCGCTCCATTTCCTCACAGTCAGACGAATTTCCTTTTATATAAAGTATAAGATTTTTAAATGTCTGAACATAATACAATCAAAATGGTTTTACTGCAGATTATTTGGCTACCAAAATGCAGTTTACGTATTTATCAATTTGCCATACAGTGAAACATTTATGAGAATATCTGAATAGCGTCTTATCCCTTTTGAAGGTTAGTTTCAATGAAATAATGTTTTAGGTGATTTTGTATTCTGTATATACTAATACAGAATACAAAAACGCATCATAATATTGGAGTCGTAATGCTTTTATTTATGCTTGTTTCCTAGACTTGATTAGTGCTTTGAGAGTTGCGAAAGAATTGAGAGGTTTACTCTACTATTGGTACGGATTGCAGACGAATTTCAATTAAAATTTAGAAATTTAGAAATTTTTGTCCAAATTTAACTTATAGGTATTAACATAGTCCTTCTAATTTAATTATATTAATATTATATATAAATATAATTATAATACATATGAAATTAATTAACTACATTCATATAACGCTACAAATGGACCGTGAAATCGTTAGAATGTCCGAGAGTCCTTTGGGTGTAATTATGCTACGTCAGCGGTTAACTGTTAATTAAGATGATGCTAATCGGCTCGAGTATGTTAAATTAACGCCGAGCGCTACTAATATCGTATATATATTATGCGTACTAGTTCAAGATTATCCTTTTCATTTTCTGTTTCGTTCTCTGAGTGATGAGAATACAATTACCATGCAAAGGAGTGCCAATGAGTTCCAGCGCTATATAGGAGAAAATAATACAACGGAAAATATCATCTTGATTCATTCATTTCATACATTCATTTCATTTATTATTATTAAACCCCAATTTAATTAACATACGCACGCAAAGTTCGCGGCTGGACAAGACAAAAGAAAATTTCTTCTATTTCGGATGAAGAAGTCTTTTTTCTCCAAAACTACGTGCTTTAAAAAGTTTTATTATTATTATTATATATACTTTATTGTACACTACAAAAAGTTTTATACAGTTGATATAAAATAAATCTTAAAAGCTAGGTACAATAAGGCGGTCTTATCGCTAAAGAGCGATCTCTTCCAGACAACCTTAGGACAAGGAAAATTAAAGTTATGAATAGTGGGAGCTGGTGTGCTCAATAAACTTACTTAATAATAACAAAATAAACTATAATAAACATACACAAACATAAATAAATATATAATATATATAATTAACATAAATAAATATATATGAAAGTTATTATTACAAAACTGGAATAAAACTCTCAAATTGGCTACTAAAAGATACAGTTGATAAGCAGTTTGATTCCAATGTTTTTCTCCATCGAAATGAATGCCGTGTGTCAACAATTGAACTGACAATAATTGTAAAACGGAAACATGATTATAGGATTATGTTGCTGAAAAGTATGACTTTCTTTGAAGTGGTTTTATGCATAATTCAAAACCCGCTTTCATTGAAATTCCAAGTCTGTCTACAATGCCCCAGTAAAGCTTTTAACGGCACGAGAAATTGAACTATTTACTTTAATTAAGATCCCCCGAGACAAATTAAACTGAATTACCGTGATTTAGTCAGTTGCCTTAGTAGACGACAATTGAATAAAGTTCCATCATTAACAAAACGTATCCAGATACTCCTACAAAATATCAGTCACAGTTTTAATCAATGACATTTTCAACTGGACTGTAAAATTTGTTTAATTTAAGTCAATATGACGAAATCAATTTATTTTATTTAAATATTAAAACAATAAGGAGCAAAATTAGTACTAATCCCTGCACTTAAGATCATTTATTTAATAAATAGATAAATAAAAAATATAGTCATATCAACGATTTTTATGTTGGTTGGATGGATTTAGTCTCTGCCACTAACGGTTTATTTGTTCGAAACCTCTCTTTATAAATTGGCATAAAACATGGTTAACAATATTTTTAAATAATTTTATTAAGCTCACGACACAACCGTTAGTAAGGTTTTCAAAGAAACATTACTTATTCTTATGAAAACATTAATGTAATTTGGTCACTCTTTGTTAATCTGTGGAAGCAATTAGCGTGGTATTTAATTGGCAACTCCAAGAAGAGGTGCCAATTTAAGTTCTTGAGAAAATATATAAATCGAATGTAAAATAAATGACCTTAATGATGAAATATTCACACGATTAACAAATCTGTACAACACAAAAGTAACAAATCTTTATATAAAGGCGGAATTCAAAGGCATTTTCTGCCAGTCAACCTAACGACGTGTGATCAGAAGTTGCGGTACTGAAGTAAAAAAAAAACTACTTATATATACATACATACACACATATATATACACGCAGACATATATAAACATACTTTTATATAAGAGTGTAATGATTATATCGATAAATACTAAAAGGTTCATTAATCAGGATTATAAACCTACACGTTGTCATGAAAGATAATATCTATGAATATATTTATTTATTATTTAATATTTTTATTACGAATATGTTTAACTTATTAAATATAAAATAAATATATTTATTGCGCAAGAAAAGACATATATGATTAATCAAGTACCTACAGGTAGGATTAGTTTTCAGACAACACTTAAATACCAAAACGAGAATATCTTTCGGTTAGCTAGGACAAACTATATCGAGAAAATCATTGTCCAAAAATAACATTTTAATTTCCGTTCAATTGTGAGACTGTATATAATACATCCACACTGTACATATAAATTTATAAACACAACGTCTACCTTCAATTGATCCAAGATATAACAGTAGGTGGCCGTAGGTAGATGGTCGAATTCGCCAAGAATTACATATTCATGAGTCGTGTCCGTACCGCGCGTAATTGATGGCAACCGCTCAGCATCCGAATAACCGGAGTTAATTTATCAGAGAACTTACCGCAGCTGTGAACAACCCTCAGAGGACTTCTGTTCCGATACCTTGACATGATCGCTAGTTTCAAATTTTGTATGAAACTGTTGTTTACAATGACATGCCTATTCATACAAAGCATTTTATCTGTTGCTTAAGGACCAAAGGAAGTGGAAATCGACAATCCCTGTTTACAAAATGGCGTTACGAGTTATTTAAGAGGTACATAATAAAATGAGGTGTTCAACGATGAAGGAAAACTTCGTGAGGAAACCTGCATATTTTCTAAATAATAACGAAAAAAATATATATATTTTCGAAAGTATGTGAAGTCCGCCAATCCGCAGTGGGGTCGCGTGGTGGACTATGCCCTGAAACTCTATGTAGTTAGGAGGCCTCTGCCCAGCTGTGGGAAATTTGAAGCCTGTTACTTTACTTTTTTTTACTCTTTTACGCGTTACTCTAAGGTTGCTTATCTTTACTGAAGTAAAACTTCTTTAGGCGCGACTAAGGGGTAACTGATACGTTACTTATAGCGATAACGC